ATGTTTGTTCACAAGAATTTTTTATTTTAAAATAATTTTTGCAAAATTACTAGTCAAAATACTCTATCCGCCAATTAGCAGACAATCGAATTTTCGAATTTTGCGAAGCTAAGAGCTTTAAAAATTTCAATTGTTTATAAACAATTGATTTTGTTGTTGCCTATTGTTCCTTAGATGTTTGTACACAAGAATTTCCTTTAGTAAAATAATTTTGGCAAAATTACTAGTCAAAATACTCCATCCGCCAATTAGCAGACAATCGAATTTTCGAGTTTTGCGAAGCTAAGAGCTTTAAAAAATTCAATTGTTAATAAACAATTGATTTTGTTGTTGCCTATTGTTTCTTAGATGTTTGTTCACAAGAATTTCTTATTTTAAAATAATTTTGGCAAAATTACTAGTCAAAATACTCCATCCGCCAATTAGCAGACAATCGAATTTTCGAGTTTCGCGAAGCTAAGAGCTTTAAAAAATTTAATTGTTAATAAGCAATTGATTTTGTTGTTGCCCATTGTTCCTTAGATGTTTGTTCACAAGAATTTCTTTTAGTAAAATAATTTCTGCAAAATTACTAGTCAAAATACTTCATCCGCCAATTAGCAGACAATCGAATTTTCGAGTTTCGCGAAGCTAAGAGCTTTAAAAAATTTAATTGTTAATAAACAATTGATTTTGTTGTTGCCCATTGTTCCTTAGATGTTTGTTCACAAGAATTTCCTATTTTAAAATAATTTTGTCAAAATTACTAGTCAAAATACTCCATCCGCCAATTAGCAGACAATCGAACTTTCGAGTTTTGCGAAACTAAGAGCTTTAAAAAATTCAATTGTTAATAAACAATTGATTTTGTTGTTGCCCATTGTTCCTTAGATGTTTGTTCACAAGAATTTCCTTTAGTAAAATAATTTTTGCAAAATTACTAGTCAAAATACTCCATCCGCCAGTTAGCAGACAATCGAATTTTCGAGTTTTGTGAAGCTAAGAGCTTTAAAAAATTTAATTGTTAATAAACAATTGATTTTGTTGTTGCCCATTGTTCCTTAGATGTTTGTTCACAAGAATTTCTTATTTTAAAATAATTTTGGCAAAATTACTAGTCAAAATACTCCATCCGCCAATTAGCAGACAATCGAATTTTCGAGTTTCGCGAAGCTAAGAGCTTTAAAAAATTCAATTGTTAATAAACAATTGATTTATATGTTAAATTATGTTCGTAGTTTATTTTTTTACATTTTTCTAAATAATTGATTTGATGTGAAAAATTGTATTACTTTTAAAAATAATTGAATTCTTGCGAAGGATTTTACTAAAATTGTCGTAAATAATTAAGTTGTTTTTAGAAATTTTATTTAAATTTAAATTATTATGAAGGAGTTTACACCGTAAGCCTTAAATATAAGCCTCCGCGCGCATAAACGGATATACCTCCAGGAGCATATATTTGCGCCTGCGCGAACACGTGGTCAAGGCAAACTCTTTTACAACACAGCTGCAGGCAAACACTTTGCGCAGACGCAAGTATATCCTCATGGAGGCATATCCGTTTATGCTCGCGGAGGCTTATATTTAAGGCTTACGGTGTAAACTCCTTCTATAAAACATTCTTAAAAATTATTGAATTTCAAAAGGTTTAAATTTGAAAATCAGAATATTTTTTTGTTTCAGGGAAAAAGTCAAAATTTTGTCTGGTAATCAGGGGAAAAGTCAGGGAAAAAGAAAATTAATTTTTTGTGGCAACGCTGTTCTCTTTATTCTTAAGGAAATTCTTTTCTTGCGCTGAATATATTTATAGTTAATAAATTTGTTTAGTACAATTAAGTGAGGAAAAGATTTTTTTTTATTAAGAGAGAAATTCCGGATTTTCTGTGGCGCAAAATTAACGGAAGCTCACGTATATCCTTTCTCCTGTCGCCGACAAATTTGTCCCGGAAATTAGAGAAATTACAGGTTCGCACTGATTACGACAATTGGCAGTCAGATAAAGGGAAATGCTACTTGTAAAAAAAAACTTAATTTAGAATTTCGTTTCTTGGTTTTTTATCAATGTTTCAATTTATTAGATTTAATTCGATCATTTTTTTCACACGCAATTGAAATCTATTTCTAATTATAGTTTGAAAAATTTGTTTTAAATTGCAATATTTTACATTGCAATAGTACCATATTAATGTACCATAGTTAATGTACCATATTAAGTGAATTAATTATCACGAGATAAAGTGAATTGAAAAAAATGTCAAATAATTAGAGACAAATTGCAAGTTCGAGTTTTCTGAAAAAATAAATAACAATTTTTAATTTATTGTATTTAAATTGTTTACTCGTTAATTAACTTGTGTTCGGTCACAAAAAAGAAGGAAGAGAAAAATGTAACTAATTGGGTATTTACTTATCCGAGTCGAATAAAATAATTAACCTTATATAAAATATATACAAAATTACAAGTCAGTGCTTAATTACAATCTCTAATTAAATTGAATATTTCATCTAAATTTAAATAAACAACGTAATTATTATTCTGTCGATCATATTTTTCAATATTTTTATTAATTTATAAACTCCTGGTTAAAATATAAATTATTAATTTAAAAAGAGAGAAAAAGAGAAACAATCCTATGCATTGAAATTTTCTCTGAATAAAAAAAATTAAAAACGAATATTTCATCAACATTTCCCATTCGTTCCTTTTCACAAACAAATTTACATTCAAAACAAAACTTTAGAAATGTTTTGATTAATATTCATCAAGTTGGAAAGTTATTTCATCGTGTTTAATATGCAATTTTCTCTTTTCTGAACTCTATTATAAATTCCACACTCCTAGTCAAACTATTAGAAAATCTGTTGATAAATTGTCAAATACAAAATACTTGACAAAATTTCGATTTTGAGGAAAAATGTTTTTTTTTCGCTTTTTCCACATTTTTAAAAGCGAATAATTTGTTAGTAAAATTTTTGTTTAAATAACAAGAAAAATGTTTCCAAAGTTGAAGAGAAAAATTGAATGTTTTCGCTTTTAAGCAAAAGTTGTATTTATTAAGAGAAAAAAGTTGACAGGAGACAATAAAATTATTAACAGTGATTTGTGTGGTGAAATTTATTTTCAAAAACATGATGGAAATTTATTAGGCTTATACTTAGGGGATAAAATAATAATGTAAGGAAGAAAAGAGAAGAGAGGGAGAGAGAGAGAGAGAGACGTTGATAAAGTGGTTTAACACGAAAAAGACGAAGTGACGTTATATTGTACTTTGTAAACGATATTAATCCTCATATAACTTTACTTCTTGTAACACAATTGGTCGTTCTTTTCCAATATAATTTACGTGCACTTCGGGAGTTCATTTTACTGCTCGCTTCCACCTCTAGGAATTTCCCATTCCTCATTTCGCACCCAGGTTCTATAGTCGCAAATTTTCAATTAAAGATAGAAAAGAAAAGAAAAGTTCACAACATTGTCAAAAGAATTTCATAATAATTAAACTCACATTTAAACAATCAAACAATATCATAAAATTAAAACTTTTAATAATGCGTTTATTATTTCTTGCAAAACTTTATACAATCTATGAACACGATTTTATAATTTTAAAAACCGATCATTTTTTTGGTATAAAATGATTTTCATTTTCACGTAATAAATTTTTTTTTTGTATCCAATCATTTTCATTGGCAGTGAATAATTTTTTTGGTATCGAATAATTTTTTTCCACTTATAATAATTTTTTTATATCAACTAATTTTTTTTTCACTGAATATATATTTTTTTTAATTAAATAATTTAATCATGAATTTCGGAAAGGACTTAACAAGTATTTTGTTAGAATTTTTGAAAATTAACTTTTGAAGAATTTTAATTACAAATTTTGAAAATAATTGAATTATCAAAAGTTTTAATGAACAATCTTGAAACGAAGATTTAAAAATGAAAATTAATAAAAATTAGCTTTTAATTTGTGAAAATTTAGTATTTTCAGTACTTTTAATTACATATTTCCGAAAATTCAAATACATACAAATAATAATAATAATAATAAGAATTTTAGAATTATTTTTAACATTTTAGAGAAAAAAATCATGTTCAAAATATTTCATTAAAATTCATCAAAAAATTAATTAGTTATTTTTTAAAAAATACAAAATTTTTTTTAAAAAATTCAATTGTTTTCGAAAAATTACATTAAAATATTTTTAAAAACTACTACTTAATTCTTAGAATGTTTTTATAAAAAATTATTATAAAAAATTGAATTATCGTATTTAAATAATTTAATTCTCGAAGAGACCAAAAATAATTAAGCACTTTACCTTAAAATAAAAGAAAAATGTTGAATTTTAAGAATTTTCGATTTTTGGCACAAGTGGTAAGGGTAGTTTTTTTTAATTAATAATAGTAATGAAAATTATAATAATAATTCTGTTAAATATAAAACACTTTCTTAATTCTATTTTCTTTTATATATTTTTCTAAGGATTTGTGTCTTACATTTTCTACTTTTCTCGGAGAGTCACTCCAAGAAAATACGTAGTTAAGAAAAACAAGGACGAATGCCTTAAGCAAGGTTTTGTCGAAATAAGTAAGACACACGTTCGTTTCGGTTTATTTTTATCCTTTTTTCCTACTTTTTGCTGTTAAGGAAAAGTTTTTGCAAAAAAGAAAAACCAAAAACATTTGTTGTTTTGTAAAATTTAATTCAGAGCTATTTAGTCTTAACATTTTTATCTCTTTTCTTTTTCTTCTTCTCGTTTTTTGTTTGTTAAAGAAAACTTTTAACAAAGTTGTTTGTAGTTTATTTTTTACATTTCTTTTATTTTTGCAGTAATTCATTTGATTTGCAAATTTTTTATTAATTATAGTAAAATGTATTAAAAATAAAATCTATTAAAAATATTAGGAAAGTGTTGAAAACAACAAATTTTATTTTATTTTAAACAATAGTAATTTGAATAATATTATTTCTATTAAATGTTTAGAAATTTATATTTTAAAAAATACTCACTTGACAATAATTTGTAAAAACATTGTAATTGCCCACGTGACTTCAAGCAAAAATATCACAACTGATGCTCCCCTGAAAATTTATAGAGAGAAAAATTATTTTCTATACCATAAAAGAATGTGAGAAAAATTAAAGTTGAACTTTTTCAATGTTTTATTTAATTGTATTGTACAAAAAGTATTATTGAAAAATATTTTTGTTTATTTTTAAAAAGGGATAAAAGAAATAAAGTATTTTAATTTTTGCAAATTCATGAAGAATGAAAATATTTCTTATTTTGAATTTTTTAAACAGAAAAAATAAAATTAAAGAGAAATTATTTAAAACTTTACGAAAAAATGAAAGTAAATTTTATTATCAATATTAATATTACTATGAATATTAATAAGCTAATTAATATTATATAAAATTATAATTAATTTTATAATTAATATTGATAATCGAATAAAAGTTTAAAATTAGTAAAATTATCTTTATATATTTAAACAATTAAAAAAGAAAACGAAAAAAAATTAGTAAAATTAGTAGATTTATCTTTATACATTTAAACAATTAAGAAAGAAAACAAAAATAAACGAAATAGTGGAAATTGTTTTTTTTTTTTTTATTTGAAAACATGTTTTAACAACATTAGAAAATTTAATCACATCTGGTATATGGAATTGATTGTATAATTGGATCTTGTCTTTAAGGAGGTTTACTAGTCGAAGTCGCAATTAAGTTATCAACTATATTGATTAACGCGACCTCGTCAGCGGCTGAACAATTTTATTGCATTTGCTTTGTCTCGATGGTATTGGTCATTTCCCCCTTGAAATCAAATTTTGTTGCTTTTAATTACAAATCGATCAAGTGCTCTAGAATCACATAAACTATATTTACCCAATTACAAAAGTTTCTTTTGTCCAAATAATATTATTGATTCCAATTTATTTCGAAATTTAATTATATTATCAATTTTAAGAAATAAATCCAAAAAAGCAATTTTCGATATTTAATAATAATTTTTTGATCATAAAGAACATTTAGATAAAATGTAAAAATAAACTAATGGCCTTTATAAATAATTTACGTAAGATATTTTTTTTTGAAACTACCCCCACCCCCTCCCCTTCAACTCTTATGTTATTTATAGACAATTCTTAAAACAAATCAATCAAAAAAAAATTTATTTATTATTTATTAAATATTTTAATATTTATTTTTTAAATGAAATTTTTTTTTATTTTTTGTTTTTAATAATTTAATAGTTTAATAAAGTATAAGTTTACAGGGCTCGAACTAGGTCCGTAAATTCCGTAAAAGTCCGTAACTTTGCTTGAAGTCGGTAAAAGTCCGTTTTTATGAAAAAAAAGGACCGTAAAGTCAGTAATTTGATTAAAAAATAATGACAAGTTTGTAAATTGTACGATTTACTTTGGAGAATTTTTGAGAAGTTACAAATAATTGCAAAAATTAAATTATTTTCGAATTTTAAATTCTTTGCGGAAATTCATTCGTGTTCAAAATTTATTTACAATTCTCATCAAAATTTCAATTATTTCTAGAAATAATTAAATTCTTCTCCAAAATTAAATTATCTTAAAAAATTTTCCTCAATTCAATGATTTCCAATATCTACTATTTTCATAAAATTTTCCAAAAGAATTCGATTATTTAAAAAAAAGTTTAATAACATTTTATATAAACTTTTAATTATTTTCAAAAAATAATAAAAATTTCACAGGAATTTCATTATTTAGAAATTTTTTTTATTACTTTCTTCGGAATCATTCAATTATTTTCATAAATAATTAAATTTTTACGGGGATTCAATTATTTTCGTGAATAATAAAATTCTTTTTAGAAATTCAATTATTTTCGTAAATAATAAAACTCAATGCAGAATTTCAAATATTTTAAATACAATTTTTATCGAATTTCTCGAAAGAATTCCTAAAAATGTTATTAAAATTCGTTAAAATAATTCATTTTATTCAAAAATTTATAGATAAAATTCTTTATGAGAATTCAATTTTAAGAAACATGCAATTATTCAATTGATTGTTATTTTTGTACTTAAATGAAAAAATTAATTAATTATTTAATAATAAATTAACTTTTTAAATTTGGATTCTAGTAGAATTTTTTCATAAACTTTGATTTAAAAATGTATTTGAGTTAAAATTTTAGATTATAATTGAATTTTAAAAGCATTAGAGCGTTGTATTTAAATAATTGAATTCCAGTAGAATTTTCTAATAAAAATTGATTTAAAAATTAGTTTCAGTTAAAATTTGAGATAATAATTGAATATTAAAAGCAATATAGCGTGAATTTTTAAGAATAATTGAATTTTGAAATTAATTTTTTTGAAAAAATAGAATTTGAATAGAAATAGAATTTTTTTAATATTATTTTAAATTTTTATTTTCTAATATTTATTTAATTGAAGTATTTTTAAATACTTTCACTGGTTCGAGCCCTGAGTTTAGTACATACTTTAATAATAGTTTTATAGTTTAAATAAAATTTTTCAAATTATAATTATTAAGTATTTTTGTTTTTGAGAATTTATTTATAAATAACAAAATGTTAGAAACGTGCTTGTTTTATTTTATTTTATTTTTTGGGAATGTTCATAGTGGTAATTTTCGAAACTATAGGAGGAGAATAGAGATGTATTTATAAAGAAAAGGTTATATTCGAAAATAAGGGTTCAGCCACCCCCTTCACGTTTTGTGAATCTAGATAGAAATGAATTACGGTATATATACGGATGTTGTATTATCCTCACGTAACGTAAAACCCCATGACATGTCCATGATAAGCCACGTCTACTCCAACGCCAGAGACAACTGAAACAGAAAAAAAAGAAAGAAAAAAAATTAATAATTTCACTTGTTTAGTATTCCATATATTAAATTCTAATTTTCATACATTAGAAAACGTATTATTTTTCTCTTAATATTTCTCTCACGCGCGCTTTTAACATGCCCCCATTGAATTTATATTTCATTGATGGAAAATTTAATTTTCATATATAAATATATAATTTTATAATCTAAAGGCGGAAGAAGAATTGTTCATCTTTTTTCGATTTGAAACAAGAAAAAAGAAATTAACTTATTCAAAAATATCGATACAGATTTTACTAAAGTCGAGACTAAAGTTCCGAACGTTCAAAAATTTATTTATTTCTTCCTTAAAATTAAAGTTTTATTACAATCATTTTGCGTCACTATCACAAAAATTAATTGTAAAGCTATTAAATAAATAAATTATGAAATTGTTTTTAATTACAAATATTTCATATTCACTTGAACGTTAAAAATTTATGGATCAGAAAATTTGGAAATGCAAATAAAAATATATTTGTGAATATTATATGAAAAGTTATAAATTAAATTTTATTTTAATATTATTTAAATATAAACTTAAATTAAATTAAAAATTTAATTTAGTAAATTAAAATTACTAAGTAAAATTATTAATTCAATTATTAATATTAATGAAGTAAATGAAAAATTAAATTTAATTGTAAATTCATAATTAAATATTAATTTTTTCAAAAGAAAAAGAATAAATGTGCGATAAATTTGTGTTTTAGAATATTTTAACAAATTTTTGGCATTCTTTATCGACTTGGGGTTTACTGACAACATATTATATAGTACTTAGATAAACCGCAAGATTTTATTACAAAAAACTTGATCTTTCATCTAAAACCACATCAAGTATATATAGCTGTGTATTAATTTTATAACAGAAAATTTTCGCTTCTGAATAAAATTAATTTTCTTTTACTTTTTGACGTTAAAAAATTCCTTGAATATTGAATTTATTCTGTTAAATATTTATATTATTATTTATATTAATAAATATTTATATTATTGAACTTTTGAAACATTGAATTTTTATATATTTTTTATATTTTATTTAGTCTTTTCTATTTTTAATATTTTTATTTATTAAAAAATTCTATTGTGGAATTTCGAACTTTCAAATGAACGAAATATTATATTCTCATTTTTTAATTTATAAATATTTTTATTTTCATATTATAAATTACTAGTCGAAATAAAAATGAAATATACACAAATTATGAATTAAAACTTATTTTAATTAGTTTTAAATTAAACTTATTTTAATTAAAACTTATTTTAATTTTTAATAATTAAAATTATTTTATAATTATAACTATCTCAATAATATTATAAATTTTTTTTGTGAGAATTATTGAAAGGTCACACATAAAGTTATTATTTATTAAAATTTTTCCTTTATGTCAAGAATTTACAATTGTTGGAAAATTAATTATGACTTTGCAATATTTTCTCATATTTTCATTAAAGATAATTGCAATATATTTTCACAAAGGTTTAAAACTTGAAGTTTAATATACTCCAAGTACTGTATCTCAAGTTTTAAACGTTCATGAAGTACACAAATTTTGTTTTAATTAAAAGCAATTTTTTTTATAAATAGAAAAAAAAATAATAATAAAAAATAATAATAATAATAATAATAATATATATTTTTTATTTTATAATTAAATTAATTAACGTATTTGAATAATGAGAAAATTTCATATAAATTAAAAAATAGAAAATTTTAATAGAAAATTTACAAAAAATGTACATTTTAATGTTAGAGTGTTTAAATATCAGTAATATAAAATTTATATTAATGTAATTAATTATTAATAAAATTTTAATTAATCTGTATTTAATATAGTATATTAATATAATTTTTAAAAAAATATTTTGGTATAATAATTAATAAATTAAGAACTCTTAAAAAGAATTTAATTTTTTGAAAGTGGGGGCCAACTTTATATATTTTATAAAAATCTTAATTAATTTTTGTGCTATTTATTTATTGTATTTTTATAACAATAAATAAATTTTTATAATTTTTTTTTACTATTATATCAAATAATCAAAAAATTCCTTTCATTGGAATTTTCACTTTTTTGGTGCAATAATGGGAAAAATTTATATAAAAGGTTGAATGTATTCTATTTACATATTTAATATTTACGGAGTATATATAGTTTAATAATGTCGGCGGTCATAAAAAAAAATAGTTTCGCAAATATTTTGCCGTGTGTATTTATTTTATACGAGAAAAGTCTTATATACTCTTATTTATATATATATACATATATTATTCAAGAAATAAAAACCACTGTTTAATAAAAGTCTAAGGAACGAGAACACTTGTGACTATATTCATGTCAACGTTCTCTAGGTATCTCCGAGTTACTTGAATTTATCCATTTTCTTTCTTTCATTTCAACTTTTATTACACTTCTCTCTCACTCTTATTGCTGTGTGAAGTTTATTGCTATGTACATTAAAAATTAAAAAAGGATTTCACTTTTATTTTTTTATTTATCATTTGTAAAATTTTTGTATTTGAACAAAAAAGAGAAGGTAAAATCTGAAATGTTTTTAGTAAACTGGAAATAAAGCAAATAGAACAAATAAAGAAAATAGAACAAATAAAGAAAATGGAACAAATAAAGAAAATAGAACAAATAAAGAAAATAGAACAAATCAAGAAAATAGAACAAATAAAGTAAATAGAAAAATGAAGCTAATAGAATAAATAAAGATAATAAAATAAATAAAACTAATAAAACAAATAAGGCTATAATAAAAAAATAAAGCAAATAAAACAAATAAAGCTAATAAAAGAAATAAAATAAACTAAAAAAAAAAATAAAATAAACTAAAAGAAAGAAATAAAATGAACTAAAAAAAGAAATACATAAACTAAAAAAATTTAATTAAATAAAAGAAAATTTTCAATTCACAAAGAGGAGAAGGATATTTGAAAAATTAGGAAAACGGAAGTAATGAACTAATATTTGAGAACTTTTTTTTTTCCCCCAGTTTGTAATTTCAAAAGTTTTTTTAATCCATTAAATATATATGTATGTCTCCCGAACAGAGATCTGCAAAAAATGGTCTATTCCAATAAACCCTACTTCAAATAAAATTTCCATTTTTTTTTTCAACAAAACAAAAAAATTACTTCAGATAATCGAAAAATTGTCGTGAATCTTTTGCGATAGAAAAAATAATGGTTGTATTTTCTCAATTTGAAATTCATCACGAATTCATCATAAATGGATATGAAAAATATAGTGAAAAAGAGGGAAAATATATAACAAAAGTGGTAAATTATTCATGTTTTTTTTTTTTGATCGATTATTATAAATGAGATGAGAGGTCTGCGAAATTGTAAATTTTCAAGTGTAGCTTTATGTGTAAAAATTTCTCGTTATATTAATAATGAAATATACGGGATTTATTCGTATTATACAATTACGTAATTCGTATTTGATCGTTGAAATTTACCCGTGCAGAAATTTTGACCGGGGCCATGGCACTTTGCCCGATCTGGCCGCCCTGTCGGGACCCGGTCGGGGCCATGGGATTTCCCCCGATCTTTTCGCTACCCAGGTAGAATTCCAATACTGACTGCATTTTATTATATTAAAGCTTGTTATTTGATTATTAAAGAATGGGGAGTATTTACTTCAATATTAATGATTATTATTAATATTTTTGTAGTAAATAAACTTTTATGAGTGTCATTAAAAATGTAAATAGTTATTAGAATTGCTTTTATTGGACTAAGTTTTTAAAAAAAATATTTTTCTTATTTTCTTTCATTAATTTAGACAGACTATCTTATTTAAATTAATAATTATTTATAATTATTATTATTGTTAATAATTATTTAAACCTATACTTTATGTAACATTATTAAGAATTATACACAAAACACTTAAAACTAAGACGGAAAAATATCGCACGCACGGGGGACCGAACCCTAGACCTCGAGGACGCAAGTCGAATACACATACCGCATAGCCACGCAAGCTTGGAAGCGACCTCGCTTAAACTTCCTTTTGAATCATGGGACCGTTATATACAGTGTTATCATAATAAATTGACTGTATCATATTTATTTATAGAAAAATTATTAAAAATGTATGTTATATATATATATATATATATATATATATATATATATATATATATATAAATTAATATGTTTATCATAATAATATGGTAAAAATTGTTAATTTAATTATTTATTCTATATTATTTATAATTTAACTATTTTTTAAAATAATAAAAATTTTTTCATTATTAATAATTCACAATAATACTAAAAATTATTAATTAATAATAATTTATTTTTTTGCCTTAAACATGGAATTTCAATTTAAGTGTGAAAAACAATTAAGAGTTTTTAAGAGTTATAAATGTCAAAAATAATATGTTAATATTATAACCACAAAAAAATTTAACATTTTAGGCAATATTTTTGGTTATCACCATGATAACATCGACAAATGGTTCACCTTCGACAATTGGTGCGTTTGTCCTATTGTTTTAAATTAAAGGAGAATAAATTCTTAAGACATCCCTCGAGGACAATTTTTGAGTTTTTAATTGTTTATAATTTTTATTTTCAAATTTCAATCAAAGTTAACAAATTAACACAATTTTTTAAAAACGGACGTTTATTTTCTTATTCCGTTACTGCACATGCTCTAAATCAGTTCAAATTAATCCAATATTACCAGCAGACAATTAAAAACCCATAAAGTAATATATTTCAATTGTCATAAACAACATTAATTAACAAATAGTTAACTTATGATCCTGTCCAACAGAAAATTTTTGTTGCAAATTTTCTTTTTTACTTAGGTTCTTTTAAAGAATATATGTCTTTTTTGCTTATAATATAACTTATTTAAATATTTAATATTATATATCCGTGGTCTTTTAACATTATCTAAATAAAAAAGTAAACGTGAAAAAAAAATTTTTGG